CAACAGTGAATTCATCTTATTTACAATTTTAAAAATCAGTCGAAATTCATACAAAATTATGATTAGTGAAAAATACTAGTTTGTATTGTGTAATGTTGTTATTTTTAAAGTATTTTTATTAAAGAAGTTCGTTAGTCAAAACCATTTTTGACTGTTGTTGCAGTCAAATGTGATTTTAACAGATTGTGATTTTAACAGACTGTAACATAGACTGATGTGCTGTTGTTGACTGTAATAATAAAATACTTAACTTAATTTCTGAGCTTATTTTAGTTAGTCACTGTACCTATTCATATCTTATAAACGATTGGTATTTTTTGGTGCTAAAACGATTTAAATTGATGTAAAAAAAGCTTTTTCTTTAATGTATAAAAAAGTTATTGGAAAATTATTAATGTAACATGCAAATCACGGACTGAATAGGTTTTTATATGAAGCATTTATTGTGATAATTAAGCCTATAATTGTAAGGCGAGTGCAAAATTTTCTTTTTTAAGAAATAATCTAACTAAAACGAATATTACTCGTATAACATTTACAAATACCAAATTAGTGTCTTTCGAGCTGAAAATGAAAATACTTGTATAAACTACTTAATCTTAATATCAGAATAGGATTTTAAAATCCTATTTTTGTTATACAGGGTGGAATTTTGTAATGCCACCTGGAGGGAAAGTACCCTTAATACTGTAGGGAGAAAATTTTACTCAAAGAAAACATTCCTTTTTTTTAAAAAAGAAAGAGAATTACATTTAAAGATTTTCGAAACATTTTCGAAAATTTACCACCATACCAGACAATTTTCTGTAAATAATTACAATAATTTAAGATTTCATGGTTTTCCTTTCATTTGATTTATCAAGTTTGTTTGAGAGATTTCATCCTTATACTTAACCCTAACGATCGATGCTATAAAAATATAGTGTGTAATTTTTTACATACTTTAGTGGGTTCGATTCCCGGGTGTAGCAAGCAAATTTTTGGAAATCTTTGAATGCAGTTCTATTTCTTTTAAAAAATAAAGGAGTATTTTCTTTGATTAAAATTTGCTATGTATCAAGAGTACTTTCCCTTCAGGTGGTAGGTATTACAAAATTCCACCCTGTAGTATAATCTAAAGACAACAAAATAGTCCAGTCAACATCGACATCGATCATCGCAAAAGCGCATGTACGAGTATAAATATTTTTTTAATGTTGTTGGCACCTTGAGAGAAGTTTACATCCCTGTATTTCTCCCATGGTGCTGGGAAATTTTGGCATCATTTTCACTTTTTGCTCCAATTCTCATAATTAAATTTTGAACAAAGTTATTTTAGGAGTTAGGACCCCAATAAATCTATTAAAATTGTAACATTCTTTTTCTATTTATTTGGCACAAAAACGGTCATTACAAATTTCAATAATAAGTCCAGCTCTACTAATCTTATGGGTGGTCCCCAACTATAAACCACTGAAGAAGATTGATTTTAATGGAAAAATGCAAAGTTAGCAAAAAGCGAAAAAAGTGGGAAAAATTCCCAGTTTTTCGCGCATCTTAGTAGAATCACATGGTTTTTAGGGTTGCAAACTTGGGTGCAAACTTCTCTTAAGGAATCTAACAACATAAAATATAAAATAATCGTACGTTTGCGATGGTTGCCGTTGTGTCGATATTGACTGGACCAAAATAAACAAACAGATCATAGCTTTTTGTGCTTTTGCGTGCCATCGAATTATACGTAAGAAGTTTTACATTTATTAAGTAGTAGGTTTTTATTTAAGTAACAGTAGGTATAATTTCTATATGAAAAAAATAGCTAGTAACATTTTTGTAAAATTGTAAGGGTGTGGTTATAAATAATTATTAAATTATATGAAACATATTTCTGTTTTTATTACAATGATATTATCAATTAAGTCCTGTGCTTTCTTACAGTTACACACTACAATCTTTAGTTACGACAGGCCTCCGTCACTCGCCTATGCCGACCGAGATAATTACCTACAGCGCACAGTCTTTTATTATGCCTTAGAAGCGGACATCCCTGTTTTATTAATTCAATCGTTAGATATTACTATTATGTATACAATTGATGAAGGAACTAGTAGTTGTATTTGTTTAGTTTCGAAGAAATATTCGATTTTGTGATTTTATAAAAAAAACTGTTTTAGAAGCATATTTTCTAAAAAAATTACATTAAGTCAGAATTTTGTAAATAAATTTACCTATCACTATAACGTCTACCTTTATGTAAAAATAAATGGTTATTGCTGCAGTAATTTAGGAATTATTTAATAATTTATGATTTTCAGAAAACATTTTTTTCTCTGTTGTCCTAGAAAAATGGCAGCTAGACTTACTTTATATTGATGCATGATATAATTATCTATAATACCTGAAAATATTACTTGCCTATCCCGTGGAAGTTCGATTATTTCACCGTGTCTATTTTCCGACACTACACCTTTTAAAACTGTTTGTCCAATTTCGAATTATCGCAACACTGAAGTTTATTAATAGGTACTTTAGAGATGGTACGATTATACAAACACCACTAGATTAAAGTTTACCAATCGTAAATACAATAATTGCTTCTTAAAATTAAGTTTTTATTTATTTTACTTTGCTTATACAGCCCTGACGCTTGAGCTGTGAGGTAAATCAATTCTGAACACAAAAAAATTGCGCTCTTGTGAGCGTAGTAGTGAGGTGCGATTTCGAATACACCATGTGCGTTGGATATTTTGCATTATTATTATTACCGTTAAAATGTCGGCATCTGATCCTACACAAAGGAGTGCAATTTCTGTTGCTACTATTATGTATTCTGTGGTTACGATTACACTGGGACACTACCATCAAGTAGGTTTGTTGTATGATTAAATTTATATAATAACCATACAAATATAAATGATCAGAATAGTGCTAGACATCCAAACTAAACCCCGAGGACCCGAAGACCCCGAATCACATGGATGTCCGTAGTAAATAAGGACCATAAAGAGGCCCAGGTCAACAGTGAGATGACCCAGGACCGACCCGTGGAGACGCATGCATGATACGGAGGGCCAACCCCAAATATGGGCCAAGCAAAGAAGAAGAATAACCATACAAATATTAAGTTATAATTACTTACAGAGACACTCCAATCAATTTTCGAGTAATGATCGTTCGTTCGTTCGTTTCAGCCGAAAGATGTCCACTGCTGGACAAAGGCCTCCCCCAAGGATTTCCACAAAGACCGGTCCTGCGCCGCTCGCATCCAGGCACCACCCGCGACCCACACCAGATCGTCGGTCCACGCTACGTCTTCCGGCTCCTGGTCGCCACTCAAGAACTTTCCTGCCCCAGCGGCCATCCGCTCTTCGAGCTATGTGCCCCGCCCATTGCCACTTGTAATGATATGATATGAGGAATGATCACCATGATTAAAACACTGTACCCAAATGTAGTGGCATTTAGGTAGAAGTCAATAAGAAAAACTAATTTGTTCGACATTAATGTAAAGTGAATCGATTCTGAAAAGGCAATAGGCAAAAAATGGAACTATGAGTAGTCACCCAGTATTGATAGTAGCGCTCTTCTGTAAATATCATTTCATATCATTTGTGTTGTCCAACGTGGTGAAAATCGGAACAAATAACTCAGTATTGACAGTAGCGCTCTCCTGACAATGTCATATCTGGGATTCGGGGACACCTTCAGTGTTGTCCAACTATTGCCGGTTTTCTTTAATAAATCGTACTCCAAATCCGTCCAACTGATTTCAATCAGTTTTCATTTTATTTTCGATGCATTTACACTTTGATCATCATCAACATCATCATCTCAGCCATAGAACGTCTACTGCTGAACATAGGCCTCCCTCAATGCTGTTGGTAGCGGCCTGCGTCCACACACTTTGATATTATTTAAAAATTCATGAAAATGTAAAAACATTTTAAAAACCGTAGATATTTTGACCAAAATATATTGAAATTTGACAGTTGACGGACGCATTTGGATTAGGATTAAATCTAGAAATCCAGCATATCTACAAAATTAATGCATCGGATGGATAGATGATACGCCACCTGGCGGAGCAAATTTACAGTGTGAATGAACTTCATTGGTAGCTCCATAGAAGAAGAACAAAAAGAATTGATGACACAAAAAACACGCAAGCAATGGCGATTGTGACGTACAATTGGTCTATTATTCATTATCACTGGTTTCTTTAAAATTAAAGAGATTATCTATTCCAATCAAACTTTTGTGACATGGTTTTCGAAGGCTATTTAAATGTTTTTTAGAAATAGCTCATATTTAGAAATTGTCCTTGTGCGAATATACCCCAGTATCTACTACATAAAATTGAGACGTTACTAAAATAATTAATTAAGGAGCTCTCCACTATATTATCATGTCCTAACAAGTCTGCAATCCAATGTGTGTACCATTAGTTCGTAAGAACAAATAAATATAAGAAAATTTGTGGCTAAGCTGGAGATAATAAAAAAAAAACCCACTATATGTAACCTTTAGGATTTAAATTTAGCGATAAATCATTGATAGGGTTCGATCCACAGTTAGATCAATCTAAAACAAAGAAAATTGCTTAAAAAGTTAAAAAGGGGTGTGTCTTACGCTAGCACGCACCGCTCTACGTCACGATTTTGTTACCATTTATGGAGCTAGAGGCAGATGGTGATTGCATCATGCAAAATACAGGGTGTGAAGGATGAAAGACAAAGACAATATTTCATTTAATTTGTGTTAATTATTTATTTCCTTAACTCAAGTGGCAGTGGGCGGGGTACATCAGCTTGGAGAACTGATGGCCGCTGGGGCAGAAAAGTTCTTGTCAGATCTCCCAAGATGTCTGGGCAGATCTCCCACAAGGACCTAGTGACTAGGTGGACCGTCGATCTTATGAAGGATCTGGATCTGAACGAACGAATGAACGAATGAATGAACAAACACCCTGTATAGAATGATAACACAGAGTATAAAGAGCCGGAGCTGATAAGAGCCTCGCCATTTTAAATCGCAACTCTGTTTCACCAGTAGTACGGCGCGCGTACATAACAAAAGATTAGTGTGTTTCTTTAAATGGAGAGAAAATTTGGAAGAAGAGAAGAAAATGTCGGCAAGAAGAACAGGGGTGACCCCTGACGTGGAAAGCAGTGAGTTTTAATTTATTTTTAATTTATTTGAGAGCTTTTGTTAGGGCTTCGAATTGTCGACTGTCATTTCTAGGAACGACACTTTTTACCATTTTAGTTAGGTATCACATCAATAGCTAAACGATCTAAAACTTATAATTTATGTAACTTTATATTTTTCACAACAATTCAATTGGAATGCCCAACTGTGTGTTTCCAATTGATTGGTTTATGTTATTTTACTGCACCTAATTTAAATTATATTGTTACCGTACGTTTCCCAAATATAAATAAAATAAAATAAAAGCTAGAACGACAGTCCTAAGCCCCCATGATATGTTAGTACAGGCAGACATTCATAAATTACTTACATAGTGCAAATAATTGTAGGTTAGGTTATTTGTCTTTGTTGAGAGCATAAGTGAAAATTTTCAATATTCCATTATGTTTTGCACCGTGAAAATGAATGAAACATACATTTTTACATGTCTAGAATTATTATAATAATGGTGTATTTATTATTAGTTTAGTAGGTACGTTCCAATTTGTTTCAATTAGTCAACATTTTGAGGTTATGGTGCATTAAAGTGACAATAACAGTTGATTTAGATTTATTTAATGGGTTATCAACATGAGTATCTAATATGACTAAATGAAATTAAATAATGAATAAAATTATCAGTATACGAATCAATTTATTATTACTATCCATCCATCCAGTAGTACACTGGACCGCACAGAAAAAGGGTGGGTTAGGAAATCTTAAACATTGTCAAAGTTACCTGATCTAGGTTTGTGAAATAAGGACTAATTACTCCAAGCCCTTTATTTTCAATAAAATTCTTATTGTTTTATTTTTAATACATTTCAAATAAATGCAGTGCATAGTTATTTTTAGTATTCTTTGTTTGATACAGTTAGTTACTTTTGAAAATATAGAAGATTTTCTAACCCTTTATCTTTACGGTCCAGTGTAATATATAATATATGTAGATATGACATAATAATAATCATATTGCGATAAATAACTTATTCAGAGTTTTATATGTATTAATAATTGCACTGTTAGTTTATTGTGTACGGTCCACTATCGTAAACGTTGATGAAGTGTTAACTAAAAGTAAAACTAAATCTCTTCTTGTACCTATTTAAATGTTTTGTGTCAATAACTATTCTATCTACTATGCCGAGAGGTCCCGGGTTCGATTCCCGGCCGGGCAGATATTGAAATTTTAATTTCTGTGATGGGTCTGGGTGTTACTATGTATAATAAGTATGTATTTACAAAAAAAAAGTATTTAAGTATGTTTATATCCGTTGTCTGGTACCCATAGTACAAGCTTTGCTTAGTTTGGGACTAGAAGCGTAGTGTAAAATGTCCAAGGATATTTATTTATTTATTTATTTATTTATCTATCTATCTCTTGTTAGCGTTAAGTTTAGGATTACTCTGTGAATATTGTGAACATTTTTAATCATCAACGAAGAAGCTTTTATTTTACTGCATTTTCTTTATTCATTCTAAACTACTCAGCTAGCATATTTATGGATGAGTTTTACACAAGCATAGAAGTTTTCAAAAAACAGAATCAATAAAATAAAAAGCTATTGGCCTGATGGAATTTATGATTTACTAGCGGCCGCCCGCGACTTCGTACGCGTGGATCCCGTTTTACCCCTTTAGGGGTGGAGTTTCGTAAAATCCTTTCTTAGCAGATACCTACGTCATAACATCTACCTGCATGCCAATTTCAGCCCGATCCGTCCAGTGGTTTGGGCTGTGCGTTGATAGATCACCATGTCAGTCAGTCAGTCAGTCAGTCAGTCACCTTTGAGTTATGTATTTAGATTATGAGTAGTAGTTTACTAGTAGTTAATATGAATCAATCCAAAATAATTTACGGGTATGAACCTACAACTACATAATAATAATTTTATTTATGATTTTAATTTATGATTTAATTTTAGTGATACCTACTACCTGATATAAGGTACACATTTGTTACTTATGTTATAGTACAAATTGGTGAATAAATATTATTATTTTTGATTTGATTTGAATACAGTTTGATCATTTGAGCAGTATGAATAATCTATTTTTTGTAATTTACGACTCCAAACACTAATATACTGCAAAATAAAAAAATACCAATCATCAATTCATTCTTCATAATTTTAAAGTAAAATTCTATCGCTGAGCGATCACGAATTTTTTATTTTTGAAATGCTCAAATCAGAAAGAAAAATTGGCCAAGTGCGTGTCGTGCCACGCGTAGTATAGGGTTCCGTAGTTGTCCGTCGTTACCACAATAACTATATTTCAGAAGCAAGCAATTACTTCATCTAAAGTCACTTTTCATATTTAGCCGTTATAGTTTTCCTTGAAAGTTCATGAAAAGCAGTATTATTACGAATTTTTCCAGATTTTTCAAGCCACAGTTAAGTTTTTAGAGCATATAAAGACCTATCTAACGATACCCCACATGATGGAGTAGAAGATGAAAAAAAAATCATCCCCACTTTACATGTAGGGGAGCTACCCAAAATTTTTTTTTTCAAAATTTTATTTTACCGTTTTGTTGGCGTGATTACCTAATATAAAATAATAATCATAATTTCCGAAAAAACTGATAAAACTCTTCTGTCTTTAGGTCCTGTCAATTGGGCTAACGTCTATCAAGAAGCAAGCAATCTGCTACCGCCGAGAGATGAACCGGCGCCTCCAGGACGGCCGGTGAGACCGCAACCTCACCGCCCTCCAGGCCATGCCATGCACATGACGGGTCACGAGGGGTTTTGCTTTATAAAGCGCTCCCGGGAGAAAAAACCAGCAGAGACAGGTCTGTACACTCTTCCATTGGTAATTATCGCAAGTCTTCCAGTGACTTGGCCCACTCTTAGCTTGGTCCACGGGCCAAGTCACTGGACTGAATTTTTAAATATTTTTTCTTCCAGCAACTGGGCCCACTTCAAGAATCTAGAGTAGATTTTGTTGATTTGGTGTTTAATTTATTGATAAAAACATTGAAGGTGGGGCCCAGTCACTGAAAGAAATTAGGTAGGTAATTATCGCGGGTTTAACGTAGACCGACTCAAAACCCTATGGCAGGTCATTGTTCGTTCTCTCACTGTCATCCTCCTGCAGTGGAGACTGAAGGACGAAGCACATTTATCAACCTGGAAAGGGATCGTACGTAACCGTATCAACTCGAGGCGGTCAGTATTCTTTGTGTGAAACTCCATACTGCAACGCACACTTGGATAAGTGCGGATGCACTGCAACGTAAACGCTTTTGCTTCGAGGTTGACCGCGCGCAAAAGGCGATACGGTGTTGATCCCTTTCCAAATTGGTCCCTTATATGATCTGATGATGATGATGACACTTTCTTTCAGGTTTCACGCGAGAGTCCAGCCAAAACAGCTTCGCCAGTTTCAGCGATGCGGCCCCAAAAAAGTTTAGATTTAAACACGTGTTCAGGAATTTGATGCTAGGTTGCTTTGGTTTCCACAAGCACTTGAGCTAAATGTTCACATAGCCAGTTGCAAGATTTGTTGAAAAGTTGAAAGTTACAACATAATATTGAAATGCTACATTGCTTAGCTGATATGCTCACCTTTGCCCAGTGAAGCTGAGAAAACCGCTCACGACTATCAGCATATTTAACCCGAAAAATAGCTGATGTACAGTCGTCAGTGCAACTAGCAAAAATTCTCAAATATAATAGACAAACATTATAATATTAACTTATAAAAAAATGTCGTCGCATTTCTTCATAAAGATGAAAAGCATTTTAAAATACAAATCACAAAGAAGAAATGGACAGCTGATAGACATTAAAGTACATTCGGTGGACTAAAAGAAAACAATCGTTTTTAATGGACTCAGAAATTCAATACAATAGTTAGGTACATGCAGTTTTTACAACATTTTTTTGCATTTTTATGCAACTGGCTAAAATCTTCTTCTTGTCGTGTCGACAACAAACCTACAGTGTCCGCCCGAAACTCTGCTACAAGAGTGGCGTTGGTTGACTGACTATGTTTAAGTGAAATAAAATTAAAATATTATAACTATGTATATGGATTAAACTATAATTTATTGGAGTTTTTGTCGGCCACTTTACCAGTCGCGCTGAAACCGCGTGGTGAAGCCATCCCACTGTTGGGATGAGTGAGATCTGCCGAAATATAATATCTTTGCTTTATTTAATGTCAATTACATAGTTTTATTTAACCAAAAAAACAATAAAAATGTTAACGATAAATCACAAAAAAATTATACAAATATTAATGTAGCTAATGTAAATGCTTATAACATTGTTACTTAATCATGTTTTAAAGGTAATAAAATTATCATATCACTAATATAACATTGACTTTTATTTTATATCTTTAAATCACGGTTTTAAACTTATACCAAATAATTGCCAACAATTTCAACACAAATTATTTTACGACCTAATGTTATATGTATAATTTCTCCGACCTTCATTTTCAGACCCCCACTATTCTCAGAAGAATGTACTGCGCGAATACTTTGACATCGAAAATATTATCGACCTTATGCCATCCGCCAAAAGTCTACATTTGCACCACAGCCCTATAACCTGGGACGCTCAGACATTTGCTTTGTTTCCTAAAAATCCAAACAACAGACAACGCATTTCTTTAAATATTTCCTCTCTTACTCTGTCTTAATTGAATTTAGGCACCTCTCTCTTGCACACAATCTTCTAGTTATCATCGAAAAAGGACGTCACTGACCTCATTACATTGACATTAACTTAGTTTGACAAAGTACTATCGGTATCTCGAAGCGGGAAGTGTGACCTTAATGACATAGCGGTAAGGTTGAAGATAACAACGCCGCGGTTACAGGTACCGCTACATAGTGGCAAGCAACTGTCAATGGTTTGCCAAATGGCGGATAGTGGCCAGTGCTTCAGTTACCAGCCGCTTGCGCACGCGCTTCTAAACTTGAAAATAAATAAATAACTTTTTAATCGCGTTCTAGTGGCCAGTGCGTGTTAGTGATTTGAAAATTAAGTTTTTACACAGAAGTGAATTTGGATTGGTACTCTTTGGATCATAACTGTAAGTTTTATTTTTAATTTTATTCGCTGCAGGAGAGATTTCAATCCTGTGTCCAGAGACTAAAATTTGACCTGGTAACTGAATTTATACGAAAATGTACTCAATAACACTAAACTATAATCCTTTGTTACTACGTCAGTCAGTCCAGCTGTTAATGACTCTACCTTTGTTTTGAAGTAAGAAACAATTTTCACTTTAATTTGATTAAAAAGCTATTAATTTACAACGAATATGAGTTCAGTATTACAAACAGGGGATTTTTGCATGTGTATTTATAAATTGATTAGAGATAATTTACAATGATAAAGAAAGATATTGATAACATATTATCTTCGTAAAAAAGATAAAACAACGATATTTTTTATTAGATAAATATCATAGGAAATCTATGACATTTAATTCAAAATCTAAACACATGTGACATAAGGATTTACTTCATGTAGAGTCACTTTTGTAGGTACTAGATTATTTATTTAATTTAATTTAAATGTTGAATAAAATTGTTAAATGGTCAGTTATAAGTCGTTTCTATAATACCCTTATATTGATAAGATAAATAATCGTAATTGTATTGTATTATGTGAAATGATATAATATTCAATATCTATCCTTTTCACTCGCTCTTGGACATTGGTGTGAGTGACAGAAACAGGTAGAGACCGATAAAGTAGATAAATAAATCGGACACCTTTCTTATGTCGCGTTCTAAGTTTATACTTAAGAATGAACTTCATTTTGTTAACCGCCATTTATAAAATTAAATAGATAACTGACTATCGTTCAGAGAAGAGAAGCTGTAGATCCTGGCTACACAGGAGTTGCAGTGGTGGGAACGAGAAGTGGGAATAGGACCATGATATGGGATGTCTCCCGCCTCGTGGGCAGGCCTCCTACTAGGTGGACCGACGATCTGGTAAAAGTCGCGGGAAGAGCCTGGATGCGGGCAGCGCAGGACCGTGCATTGTGGAAAACCTTGGAGGAGGCCTTTGTCCAGCAGTGGAGCAGGCCCTTTCCAGGGCGGTTAAACACGTCCCAAATATACCACCACTTCGGAACAAATATAATAATACCATCAATAATGTACCATCCTAGACTGCATCCCACAGGTGAGATTGCGGTCAAATACCTGCCTTGTTATGCATAAAAAAATGGGCTGGTGCTCAGAAGAAATTCAAGAGATTTTATGAGCACTATGAGTGTTTGATATGGACCGACGACTTATTGCCCCCTCTGAAGCACGAAATCAGTGTATTGAACCCTTTAAATACTTAGAATAAATCTTAGATAAATATTAAAGTGCAAGTAAGGGCCTTCAAGCTAGTTAGTTTTTCCCATTGAAAAAGTCAAACACTATTGAAAACGTATGAAAGAATGACATTGGATGACATGACTTTTGCCTCAATGTAGACGAAGCGCATGTATTATTCTAATCTTGCATCATATAGTTTTGGTAGATCCTGAAATACGTCAAACTTTACTATTACAACATTCAAGTAAGATTTGGCATAAAAAGAAAAGTAAAAAAAGTTCAATCGAATTAAGAACCCCTTTTGTTGAAGTCGATTAATAGAAACAAATGCTATGTAATTAAATGAACAATCAAGATAAAAACGTTTCGCAATTGTTTTTTTAACAGCAATTTGTGTTTCGAATCATCTGATCCTAACCAAAAAGATAAACATAAGACGATCTTCTTTTGTTTCAATACAGTACAGCAAATAAAAGGCAATAATATTGTTTTAAACTTTCATGGTCACTAACATAATTACTATTACTGGCGGGATTCTGTTACATGGTACATGCATGGTAGCAATCCCGTCAGTAATAATAATTAAATAAAAGGCAGTTGAAAAATAAAATGTACATTTTTACAGACATGCCATAGCCTGTACAGCGTCAAATACTTCATGTCACCCTAAGGCTGGGTTGCACCATCTTACTTTAACATTAACTAACGTTAAAAGTCTGTCAAACTCCATACAAAAACACGATGAGTTTCACGAGTTTTTTATGAGTTTTACCGGTTATAGTGACAGTTATAATAAGATGGTGCAACTCAGCCTACAAGTTGACAACACAATCCATAACAAAGACGTGTTGCGAACTTTTGGCTAGTACTTCGGGTGTCACGAACTATTGGATGATGACTGTACAACATTCGAATCAAGAATTTTAGCTGGAATTCCAATGACGTGCAACACTTTCTCTTGTTGACTCACTATTTTACCGTTCGTTTCTTTGGGTTTCGTTCCGTTCGATTCCAGGTCATAGATTACATAACTCTGTGCAAAGTTTAATGCAAATTCCTATTTGGTTGATGGTAAGACAACCTGCTTCAGAGGTCTTGGGTTCGATTCCCAGTGCAGGCAAAATTTTCTGCTCGGTTCGGTTAGTGGTAAGGCCTGTTCTAAGGCCATCACCATCTTATTGAAACTTTGACAAACGTCAAAAATCTGTCAAACTCCATACAAAAAACACCGGTTATCGTTATAGTTACGGTCAAAGTTAGGTGGTGCAACTCAGCCTAAGTCTGTGAGGTTAGCTACCACCAATAACAAAAATGTTAAGATTTTTGTGTTCCTGGAGTTGAAGGTAAAATAGCCAGTTCCTCATGGTTGTTTGTGGTGGGTCCATTCAGCAAAGTCATGATTTCTAGAGGTGAATGCGAGTGAGACTCAAGATCGACTCGATTTGGGTTAGCTGACAACAGAAGTAATAACCCAGTATTGATAGTAGCGCCAGTAGGCCCCTCCTGTAGAATGTCATATGGGACAATTCAGTATTGTCCGACATGGCAAAAATCGTAACTAATAAGTAATAACCGAGTATTGATAGTGGAACCCTCCTGTAAAATGTCACATGGGACAGGTCAGTGTTGTCAAAGGTGCCAGAATGTAGCTTGTTCATACAAATGATAGCACATATTTTTTTATGCATAACAAGGCAGGTATTTGACCACAATCGCACCTGATGTTAAGTGGGATGCAGTCTAGGATGGTACATTATTCTGCCTTGTAAGTGTCTTTTCACTCTCGCCTTGAAAAGGCCCGGATTATAGTCTTCGGGAAAGGCAGCATCAAGCTATTGGAAACTATTTAGTAACAACAATGCTACTGTACTATAAACAAGTCGAGTAGATAGTAATATTTATTTACTATCGAACCGACTCAAGCTTTGCTAGGCCGCAGCGTGCCGCGTTATCTCACTGATAACGTTATCAATGTTATGCCACCGCCAAGATTCGACAGTTTGTTGGCAAACTCATTCGGAGGTATAAATAAGTAATTGACTGTCAAGAAGACTCGTTAGTAGTTTGTTTTCTGCTGTTTACTTTATTTTTTAGTTCAATTAGATATATCTATAAAAGCAAAACGTCACTGATTGACTGACTCACTCATAACGAAATCTCAGAAACTACAAGTGCTAGGAGGCTCTTTTGCATGGGGTTTCTTTTAGAACGTAAGTGCTCACTAAGACGGGATTTTGCAAAATTTTACCCCTAAGGGAGTAAAACGGGATCCACGTCCGCTAGTTGTTTATTTTTTGTCGTCTGTGGTACTAGAAAAGTTGATTTTTGACTGAAAGCTTACTATTTCCTTTTGAATTATTGTGTAATGACAGCAATAAAAAGTAAAATATCAGAAAGTTAACTGTAGTTCTAGTGCTTAACTTAGTCCGTGCCTCAGGTGTGCCACACGGGAGGGGTGAGATTGACATAATTATGACGTGACAGAACATACAAATCTGAAGCACCCTATGGAAAAGCAAAATATGGGGCACACTGAAAACCAGCGCCGTGTCCTTCGTCACCGTGGGCCACGGCATATGCTGAGTGGGGTCCCGTTGCAGTGGGCATCTTGTTGGTCAATGGGTACTGCTCAGTTTACTCTTGTTTTTATTTTTTCTTCTTCCATTATTATGTGCCACTGTCATGTCTATGTAATTGCCTGTATTTGTGTGATGTCCATTGTAATAAATGTATCTTTCTTTCTTTCTTTCTTTCTGAAGCGTATTCTGAAGTCTCACTGACGTTTCATCATCATCATTATTTCAGCCACAGGACGTCCACTGCTGAACATAGGCCTCCCCCAGTGACTTCCACATCGCACGATTGGTAGCGGCTTGCATCCAGCGCCTTCCTGTTACCTTTATCAGGTCGCGGTCCATCTTGTGGGTGGACGTCGCACACTGCGTTTTCCGTTACGTGGCCTCCACTCCAGAAACTTGCTGCCCCATCGGCCGTCAGTTCTGCGTACTATATGCCCTGCACATTGCAAATTCAGCTTGCTAAGCCTGACTGACGTCTCAAAACACCCTCCATGCCGCTCTCACACCTCAGGCACGGACTGAGTCAAGCACTTAATCTATAAGTGTACCTAATTTTGTACATTACAGACAGCGATGTATCGTGTGACGTCATGTGTAATCGTTATCATGCTCTTTGCACGAACTACAGCGTTATTAACCGACTTCGATAAAATAGAGGAAGTTCTTAATGCGTTTTTTTCTTCTTGGTATCTCGTGGAACCCTAAGCAGTCACATGAGACCGCGGTAACTATGGATTTCTATTGTCTCGAAGCATACCAGCGCCTGAAGGGTTAAAAGGTAGTTTTTGAAATGACATTGAAATTATCAATTAAAAAAGAATCTATAAGATCGGTATAAATATACTTAGCTAGTAAAGGAAAGAAAAATAACTGCGAGCAAGTTAACCATTTGTATGGCAGTGGAATATAGTTCCCACCATATTTTGAAATTAATTAAGATCCAAAAACAATGAAAAATTTAAGTTTGTTTTGTCCGTTACAGGCTTAAGTTGTGCTTAAGTGTCTTAATACTCTATTTTTAGTACGTATAAGTTTTAAATAATTAAATGCCGAATAGATAAAAAAAATTCAAGAAAAAATTAAAAAACAACTTACCTCAAACTGTCTAGACTTTTATTATACTAGATGACCTTGTATTTATCAAAACATAATGTATCCTGCGAACTGGTCAA